TATTTCTTTGCATTCTTCCACTCCTTCAAGACAAAGTTCTGGAGACAATGAACTTGGATGTGCCTATCCCTGAATGCCTTGTTACCACATATTCTGAAGAGAAAGGACTCCTTTGATTGCAGAATTTTTCTCCACTCAGACATTACTTACTAAGTACATTAGCTCTGCTGTATGTTTTCTCAATGTAAGTCCTTTAACACCCACTTCCATGCACAATCTGCACCACACCTGGGTTGCTTGTTTCATGCCTCCTGCTCTAAGGAAAAACAAGCCTCTTTCCACCCCAACCAGTGAAAATCCAAACCAACTACACATTGCTTGATTCCACATCCAATCCATTATCTCATCTTTTCTACAGGATAGGAGTGGAGTTGTACCTAAGACTCCGCAGTATTCCTTCTGGAAAACAGCTCTCCATAGCCAAAGCACACTGCCTTAACACACAAGAAATTACCATAAAAATTGTCTGTGTCAATTTTTTTAAGTTGTTCCGAGACCAGCAAATGATAAGGGGTAAGGGAGGAGAATGTACCTAAATTGAAGGCGGCTAAAGTGCTTACACAATCAGAGGATAACCAACAAATGCTTAAGAAATGCTTAAAGAAAGGTATGAGAGAGTTCCATTCCAATACATAAAATCAGTGTCAGTCCCACACCACCACTGAGATCTCACCTCTCCCACGGACACGTTTCCCACGGTCTGAAGGCCTGTCTCCTTGATTGTTGTCCACTCCATTCTCTTCAGCTCTAACTGTGGAGAGAGGACAGCTTAAGAGTTGTTTTATAGACTTGTACATGAGACAATATAGCCATCAGCTTAACCTGAGCTCCAAACAAAAGAAAGGATTTCCAAGTGGGCTGGTTGACAGATCTCAGTAAACCCTCTTCTTTGGGAGCCAAGCTTCAAGCAAGTTATGTTTACTCGGTACTGGACAGTTAGGAAGCAAAACATCTAATAAGAAGGACATGTCCCTCAGAGGACACACATCTATAAATGCTGTGCTTTTACAGCCTATGCTATTTAATTAATTATGGCCTCACCTCTTTAATGGGGCAGGAAATACAGCTGCCTCATACTAGGTTTCCTTGATAATGCACTAGTTGACAACAGTGAAAGAATAAGGGACAACCAAGAACACCAGCTCTTCTCCTGTCTGCCCATACCACATCCCTGTACAACCAGGGAAACTTAAAAGACTTCTCCTCTGTATTTAAAGCAGTGGGATAACAACTGAGTGAAGGTGAGGGATTAGAAAAGCACTGCAACTAACTATTTTGTGGAAGACTGCTGAGGAGGTACTCTAAAATATAGCTGGCTCCTTGAAGGGGCAGGAAAAAAAAAAAGCCTGGCCACATAAAACACTGCTGAGATTTTGTACTGTACAGCTTCTCCTAAAGGCAGCAACAAAACCACCAATGCTTGGACATAAAGTTGGGAAGAAAATACCGAGATCTGGTAACCATCTAAAACATCTTTAATTCCAGTTAACAGAAAGAGACAAGCAGTATCTGCCTGATAAAAATTTTTCCCCTCACTTTCATTCTTGGGTCTAATTTCAACTTTTCTAAGCATAGCGAGAAGCTTTAGTAATATTTTTTCTCACCTTGACATTATTCTGTCCTACAAGGATTCACAACTTCTACACTGGCACAATATTTGAATAAATTCCAATTATGAATTAGATGAGTTGGCTAATATTCTATTTCTCCTGCTTTCAAGTGGAGAGCTAAACATACTGTACTCATTCTGATTTCTTTTCTCATCAGTGTACAGCCCACACAGGCATGTACATAGCTCTGAATGTTAACAAAACTCATAGAGATAAAAGCAACATGTATAGAGTGGTGGTCTAACGTGACTCTATCTAACTTTGAAACATCAGTTTGCTTTTGTAAAACTGTAGCAAAGGTTTAAATGCTTCAATTAACAACAAATTTTCTCTGGTGTAGAAATCCAACTGTGACTGATCTATATGGGGAAATATATGCCAGAGATTAATAATCCTCCCAGTGTTTTCATTCCCCTTATGAGAAGATCTTCAGGTTCTCCCACTCATAAAACGAGATGGAGTCAAAGCTGGATCATATTTTCATTAGAAGAAACAAAAAAGTGTATCATCCGTGCAGCAATATACTTGCTTTAAGCAGTTTTACAAAAGAGTCAATTTTAAAACTTACGTGAAGAACAGCCAATTTGTACAAGATCAATTAATCAAATAAAAACAGAGACTTAAATTGAGTGCCTCTGAGCAAGTATAGACCATTCCAAAACCAAGTCACACAGACAGATCAAGCATACCTGTCGCACAAACAAGTTATGATCCTTTCAACACTCAACTACAGACAGATGGACTTGCCTCCATTAAGCACACACACTTAACTCAGTTCGAATTGCAAGAAAAGTGTTTTCAAATTAACCCCTATACGTACACTCTCGGCCACGGCTGCCTCCTCTTCCCCGTCTGTTGGAAGTTCCCCGTCCACGACTCACTTCTCTGTCCCCTCGTTTCTCTCTGTTCTCTCTGTTTTCTGAACCTTCCTTTCCAAGGCTTTTCTTCTTTCCCCCTACAGTCTCCCAAGAAGTCTATTTGGGTAGAAGAGAATTAAACACAAAAGTCAAAAAGGAAGAGACAGCTCTCAACACACACTTCCACTTCACACCCCACCAGGTCATGGAAAAAACCCAGGTATTTGCATAATGTCACATATGTAATACTCTGCAAACAACACTGATATAAATGAAAACGCAGGCTGTATTTTTGCTAAGGGATGAGAAAGAAACATATTTTAGAAGTTAAACTCTGAAAGGTAATGTGAGAATCCCCAGTATTTCTAACTATAATGGACATTTACTAGTTGAAGGAAGCCTGGATACGACTGTAATGAAGAACATCCACAAAGCAAGTAACAGTTTCCATCTAAACTACATCCATAAATCCTGCAAAGGAGCATGTATAGATCTATCTTTTTCTCCCAAGGAAATAACAAAAGATTGATGAGAACAAGTATGTGGCCTAAGAGAAAAGAAAAGCCCACAACAAAACAGAAAAAAAGAAAAATGCTATCCAGACATACTAGACTTTAAGCACCAAAAAAACCCAAAAAAAAAACCACCCACAAACAAGCAAACAAACAAACCAACAAAAAAAAAAAAAAAAAAAAAAAAAAACAAACCAAAAAAAAAAAAACAAACCACAAAACAAAAAAACCACAAAAAAAAAGGCAGAAAAACAACCTGGAAAAGCTGGGGGCACGATAAGTCAAACCATCTACTCTTAACAGCCACATATCAAACATAGCAAAATACAGGAAAACCTGTGTCTAAACCACACAATGGAAAGAGGTCCAAACATTAGGCTTCTGTTTTAATATGAAACTCTACCTTTAAAATAAATTCAAGGATCATATTGACTCCATTGGAATATCTGTAGGAGTCGCAAATAAAATGACTACAACACTTGCCAAGAATAGCTCAGCAACTCATATATTATGCAATTGCATGGTTAGGCTACTGAGCCATAGCTGTAAAGCAAGGAAGAACGTATTATTTGCAAGCCATTAAGACAGCAGATAGGTTTACATGTATGTCCCTATCTCTAGGAGCTTACAGCCCAGGTAAGGTATTTATGCATTTGCATATGCAAATAAGGTGCCATCAGTTGTGAAGCACTGAAGTCATACATGACCTCTGACAGGCATCTGCATCAAAAGGTTGTCTATCAGTAATTTTAGGTCCTGTCTTCTCTCCTCTCAATTCTGACAACAGCAACTCAGCAACCCTCTCATGGCAGAACATGACCAGTTAGTCCAAGCTGCCTAGAACTTAGGAGACCAATGCTATGAAGAAAGCAGGTAACAAAGCGGTTTGCAAGTACAAACCCAATGTTGCAGAGTCTCTCTTAGAGAATAAGGACCAAGAGAATAGCTACTCTCTCGGTTTTTAGCATGGTATAGATGAAAAAGAAGGCTGAAATTACACTTCAATTGCATCTGCACTGCAGAAGGCTACACTGCCACGCACCACCTTGGGTGACGCACAGGCAACAACAATCAGAAGTACAAAACTACGTTTGAGCACCACCAAATTATCTGTGAATCAGAAAACTGTTTCCTCCAGTAACAACCATGTGGCTTCCCCTGACATAGCCAGAGTAACTGCATTACACACTGAAAGACTCCTAGAGCTTTGGGGACCTCGCTGGAGGAAAAAACCTGCACTGACAAGTGGAGAGCCAAGTCTATACAGTTCAGAATGCACTACCATTTCACTGATGGGCATGGTGCCAAAACATCTTCGATCATTTTAGGAAATAACCAAAACTGGATAAGGGTGCAAAGATGAAGAGGATGCAGCCTCTCCTGAGGAGGTTTTACTTGACCTGGGAAGGATCAGTAAAAAGACAACTATGAAAGCATCAGATCCATGCTTTCTCACAATACAATTTTAAGGAAAGCCTTCAGAAGTCAGGCATGTCCTTTAATATACAGGATAGTGCTAGCTCTGGGCATGGGCATCCATCACAGACTATCAAAGCTGTCTCATTACATAAGGGAGGTAACTGACTACCATTTCATTGACGATGCCTGAGGCAATCTATATGACAGTTGTGGGCCTGACCATAGAAAATATGTAACAGAAGTCTTCTTGCTGCCCTGTTCTCAGATGGAAAGAATAATAATCTGAAAGGTCTCCTTTGCTCTCTTCCAAGGTTTAGCAAGTAGAACATGGGCATAAAATGGATCTTATGTCTGTAGGAAGTTAAAGAATACAAGTCTTGGGCAAAGGAACATATCCTTCTCTACTCTCATCCACAAGACTCTTATCTAGCCAAAGCCAGACTGTCACAACTGCTGCAAACTGTAAGTCTTCATATAGGCTGTTACACAGCATAAAACCTTAAAGATCACAGCATTAAAACCAAGCCGAAAAAAAAAAAGAGAGACATAGGCAAAACTGGCTGACTACCAAATAAATTATAAACAGACATTCCAGTGATCACTCCTTGCTCTTCTGATTCCTCCAGTTGGATAGACATCTTCGAAATGAGGCTTAAAACAACTTCTAGTGCATCAAAGCACAGTTAAACTAGAAAAAGAGATTTAGGAATCTGCATTCAGAACCAGTAATACCTCAGCTTACAACTTTACATGAAATCCATGGTTAAACTGTTCTCAAATATAATAGCATTAAAACAAACCCTTCCATTTGGAGGCCCACAAACTTCCATAAAGAATAAATTTCTTCACATCCTTCAGTAAATACTCCTTCCTCCTTGAGCCCTTTAAGTTCTCTATTTGTTTCTAAGTTGCACTTTGTCCACAGAGAGTAGTGGGTTCAGGGGGACTTGTTAAAAGAGCAGAACATATCAATTTCTCTTCTAGCTGATAAATGAATTCAGAAAGTTTTTTCAAAGACATGATCATTTACAACAACTTGCTAAAGTATGAAAGCATTTCACATTCTCTATGAACCAGAAAACTACTTTCAACTAAAATACAGCAAATATCAGAAGTCCAAGAGAGCGCAAAACTGGCGCATTACCCAGACAGATTTCATCACAGGAACATGCTCTTTTCTACTACCAATTTGCCTGCTAGCTCAGTATTATATACTTCTGTGTTTTAGAAGACCTCACCTCTGATCTAGGAAAAGGGGATAGAGAAGGAAGTCCCCACAATCAGAATGGTGTGTCCTAGATTTAGGGCGGGAGAGGAGCAAGTTTCCTTATTAACAATAAACCAGAGTACACATCCTGACAAACCACAGGAAATACTGAATGTTCAGCATCAAGAAAGGAAGTCCAGGTTTCTTTCCCAATTTAGATGAGACAGAATCTAGTTTACTGTCTTGGACAAACTGTAAGAAGTCCCTCCAGCAAAAACTTCAACTGCAGTAAGATATATTTTCCTGGTTATCTCTTGGGATGAAAAGTTGCTCCATGCAACATCCTAAGCTACATTATTTGTTGCTATATACAAATTGTTTAGACTCCTCTTTCTATTTTTAAATTAAGTCATGCAAATGAGCAACACAGTAAAAGAAGGAACTACTTGCTGCATCCTCTTCCACCATTAGCAGCATTGTGAGTGCAACTTTCAGATGTGAAAATCTCCTCCAACTTCAACATCGACAACGCACACCTACAGAAGCTGCACGACTTAAAGCATCTCCTTGCCCTTTAAGTTTATAAAGGCTGACCTTCGTGACAAACAGGCCTCAGGGCTTCAGAGGTGCTACACAATAGCTACAAAAATCTCAGCAAGGAACAGGCCTGTGTCTGAGGCAACAGTGAGTTCTGCTCCTCAGTTAAAAAATCTGCTGCATGCAAATCAAAGCAGAGGATGCTGCAAGAGACCAGCTGAACACCCACAACATTTTCCAGATTCAGCCTACTCCAGGGTATGCATGCAGTACAGAAGCTGCTCCAGCCTTCGTTTCCTTGAAAAGAATCTGAATGGAGACATGGAAATCCAAAGTTTCCGAAACACAAGCTTCCCGATCAGCTCTGAGAAGTCAAAACCACAGCAAATAGGAGAGGTTTAACAAGGAAGTAAAACCTTACCGTATCTGAACTTCCTTCCAGCAGTATGTTGATTGCTCTGTTCACATCCCCATTACAATCATGTAGTGCCACTATGCACTCATCCTGGTTTTTCCCCGTCACTTCCATAAGCTGGCAGTGAAAGTCAGACATGTTAAAATACCAACATTATCATAAGGAAAAAATAAGAGTTAGTACCACCACAGATTCTAAGGTAGTACACAGCTACAATGTCAGAGTAAACTAAAATCCTGAATAAAGGAAAGTGCATTTTACAGATCTGCTTGGGATTCAAAAGAGAGACAGGAGGAAGCACAAGTTAATCAGTAATCATCAAAGCACTTTCACACCTTTTCTTTTTTCCTGTATGCTTCCAGCAAATATTGTCAATGCAGACAGAGCAGCATATGAGGGTAAAAACGTAAATAACCAGCATAGTTCCAGTATCCTCCTCTCTCCCTCCCCACCAAACATGTGCCTCTTTATCCCACTGTGAGAACAGGCATAAGGTAAGACGTTGCAGAGAACGCACCCATCTGGAAAAACATCTAGACTACGAAATAGGTTATTCTTCAGCCAGATTAGCTCCCTCGACCCATTTCAGCATAAGGTCACATAAAAGGCATCATAAGTGATTGTTGACTAAGGAGACCCATATCTGAATAATGCTCCATGGATCTGTGGGGCATAACTTGAGGAGTCTGGGACAGAAATAATCAGTCTGTCATGGGCCATCCAGCAACTTCACTCGAAGAACAAAACCTGCGTGTGCTAGAAATACATAGGCAGGATGTAAAACATCGGAGATCTCCTGTGCAGAACTTAATTCTTCTCCTTCCCACCAGCACAGCTACAAGCACTATTCATGAGGGTCCTTTGGCTTCATGAAGTATAAGACTTCATTTTAGGCACAGCAACACAACCAGTTTGTAAGAACAACAAAAAGCACTTAAAAATGCTTCAGAGATGGTTTTACAAAGGAAAAGGATTCAATAAATCTGCTCCTCTGTCGCACTAATGCATTTAAACTAATACTTCTTGTGGGCGTGCTCCCATATTCTTTGTGAGTTGTGATGTGTTTCCTAGGACAAAATCACCAATACCCACAGCAGAACAGGGACTCAGATTGTCAGCACCGCTTCAATTAATGGTCTCAGCTATACCTGGGCAATGGAAGCTTGAGCATCCAACACACAGAACTCAGCGTGGTAGAGAAAATGATGGGAGATTTATTAACATGGTATAATTCTATAATTTTAATGCATGCACAGATCTATGAGGTCAGATTATTTATTTTTTAAATTAACACCTTGATCCACCTTTAAGCTATGATTAGATTTTTACTTTTCCTGAAAAACACCCAAGACACTAGCAAACTCCATTTATACAGGTGACAATTTTCTCATGTACATGTACATGTGGACAAGCTGAATGTACTCTTTATTATGACAATCATTAAGCATCAGAACCATACTAGAGACACACAGTATCGAGAAGACATCAGCACAAATGAGTTTTGGCTTAAAGGCTTGTCTAAAAAAGGAAAATACACTGATGTAACTATATAGTCAGAGGTATATTACCACACAATTTCTTGTAAACAGACTTTACAGTGCAATAAGAACATCTTTCACTAGTTAAACTTACATCCTTCTGAAAAAGGTTTCATCTAAATCAGAAATAGATGCTCTAGCTCCAAAATGTAAGCCAGGCTTAGAGCACCTTATTGCAGGGCAAAACAATTCTGTACCATAAGAAACATACTTGTTTCACTTTATCTTCAAAATCTGCGTCATTCTTATCGTAGATCATCTGAGCAAGGCGAATCTGTTCCGCTGTTGCCTGAGAAAAGAGAACATTCAATAAAGCACACAAAAGCTAACTATATTTTTTTAAGTATATCCTAGTGTCATGTTGGTTTTTTCCTCCAGATTCTCAAAAAGAACAGAGATGCTATGGGGAAGGGAGTAATATCATCTTGATATCCATTTTATAGCTTAAAAAGTTATCTGGGACAGTAGAAATCTCAACACATTCTAATCTGCTTGAAACACAGTTAAAGGTCACCACATTGACGAAACAACCATATAATTATAGAGAATATACTGCAGAAGACTACATTTCAGTATTAATGCTTTTAATTCTTAGTATCTGCCACTCCAGACTTAAAGGGTTTTATCACAACAAATTGGCAATGTTATTTCTAAATTAACCACATCTCTGACAATTCCTGCTCACATCACCTTCCACGACTCTCCTAACAACAACCTGACTCTGTACTTTTATGAGCACTTAAAGACACTGAGTCATGCCTCAAGATTTTGCCCACGAACAGCTGCACTTATTTCATTGATAAGCAAATATTGGACTCTGAAAACTGCTAAACTAAGTTGTTATTGATGAAGTATCTGGTGCTTCTGTAACATTTCTGGACCACAAATCCATGCTGGCAACTTCTGCAAAAACTGAAAAGAGTAAAATGGATGGATGCAGTCAAGTGCCATAAAACTGAACAGACAACGGCTGCCCCAGAGAGAAGCAACACAGATGTCACATTGCACAGGACACTCTCCAGACTGTGGCATTTGCAGCTTACTTGCACTGCACTCCTGTGAAAACACCAAAGGTAAGTGTAAGCTGCATGATCCTGGACCTCATTTGATTTCTGCTCAAACAAAAGCCGTTAGCATCTCATGCTACAGAAGGCTGATACTGAAGAGAGCCAGCGTTGGGAACGGGAAAGTTCTGCGCGGGGAAGTAAGTGGCCGACTCCGTGTGGGTGATACAGCAAGCTCCATCTTTATTGTCCAACAGGCTCTTTCTTACACAGTGCAGGACAGGCATATAACTATCAATCA